TTTATTTGAAGATTTATTAAAATTTTTCATAAACCTTTATTTTTATTCTTGAAAGTATTAAAATCAATTTATCAATCTCATATTTATTTTAAATACAATCGTTCAATATTATATTTATTTTAGGGTATTGTAATAAAATCAAATGGTTCAAATAATTATATTGTTGAACGCACTGATTTTCCTGGTATTCAAAGTACTATATCGCGTAATGATATATTTCTTAATTCAAATCTCTGTCATTTAAAACATATGGAAGTAAGTTAATTAATAATATTTTATCGTTATTTTAAATTTTATATTTACAATTTAAGGCTGAATCATTTGCTCTTATTAAATATCCAAAGGATTCTCGTCAATGTTATTGTCCAGCAGTAATTCTTCGTCATCTTGATTATGGAACAAAAACAAAAGTTCGTTTTTATGATTGTTATGAAGAAGATCTAGAAAATGATCAATATGTTATACCAATACATGAACAACAATTTGAACGTTATACTGCATTACGTATTGAAAAAGAAAAATCTCTTATTAATCAAGTTATTGTTGGTTTAAATGAACAAAATGAACAAACAAAAACATTTATGTTAGGTAAAAGAATTTGATACTCGTTTTTTTTTCTGCCTTTCGTCTATAGTTAAAAATCTTAATTAGGTACAATTAAAACTCGTGAAGGAACTGGTCATTTGTATAAAATACAGTGGTGTAATGAACGTACATCTGAACAAATTGATGAACATTTATTTGGTGCATTTTCTCGACGTTATAAACATAGAATTGATGATTATGTTTTAGCTATTGATAATAAGGATGCTATTTATAAATTAGCCAAAGTTCAATCTATATCAAATGATCGAAAAAATTTAAAAGTTCAATTTATTAATTTAAATAAAAATGATAATAGTTTATCACCACAGTAAAATATATTTTTGTTTTTGATCAAGAAATGAAGAAAATATTATTTTTCTTGTTTTTAGAGAAGCTGATGTTCCAGCAATGACTACATTTGTAATTACTGAAGCATATTATAACAAGATTATTAATATTCTCTCAACGTGACATTATTCTTAAGCACTAATTTTTCTTTTCTTTTTTTTTTTTCATATATCCATATATATCTTCTTTCTCCTCAGATAAAACACCTATAAATACATGAATTTTATGTCTATTTTTTTCTTTGATGCGTTTATGTTTTTATTAAAAAAAAAAAAGAAAAAGAATGAGAAAAAGAAGAACTCCAGAAAAAAGTTTTATGAATTTTCTATGTCATTTACACGTACCATTCTCTTGAATCAATGCCATTATGTTCATTTGTTGCCATCAATTTTTGTCGATAATGATGTGATGAAGATGCTTTACCACGGCAACCACTATTATCATGACTGTCAATATTAGAGTTTAAAACAAAATTTTTACTTTCATCAATTTTATATGAACCTTCATCACGATTTCGATATTTAACAAATGCATAAATAATAATTATAATTAAAATAATACTTGCACTTATACATCCAATAAGTAATGTTATATTGAATGTTCGAGATGCTCCCTGTTGTGTTGTTGATAGTGATGTATGAAAAAGACTAACATTAGAAATTGCAGTTGTTGCTGTTGTTGTTGTTGATAAAAGGGAATTAATTGTTGTTGCTGATACAGTTGTTGTTAATTTATTAAAATCACTACTAATAAGAAGATTATTTTCGTTTGATGACATTAGTTTAATAATGCTTTTCGATAATGATTGGTTGATAAGGAAAAGAACATCATTCTTATCATGAAAAGATGAGTTTCGTGATGAGTTGGCAATGCCAGTAAAAAGGAAGCGCGGTGAAGAACGAAAAATATCAAAACCACTTGATGAATAGTAAGTGGTTTGTTGATGTTTACAAAAAGATAGAGGCAATAATGATAAAAAGGAAGACGATAATGACTGATTGAAAATATTAAAATAGTAATGATGATCAGTTGAAATATTAACTAAAATATAGAAATTCCAATTATTCACTTTGAACAATATATATATATATATACATATATATAAACGACTAAAAATGCATAGGAATAAGCAAAAAAAAATGTGTTTTTTTTTGCATGTAAAAACCTCGTTATCGTGATGAAAAAATATTGAGAGAAATAGAGAGGAAATGGATGTTGGTGATGGTAATTGGATAGAAAGACAGAGGAACGCCGTTAGAGGAAAAGATCCTTTCTCTTCTTTCTATCATATATTTTTTGTCTGCATATGAAAGCAAACGAACGACAACTCTCGTATGGCTTGCCACTATAACTACTCTAGACGATGACGAGAAAGCAAGAACGACGACGCAGAGGACTTATAACAATTTTTTATGACGCGAACAAGAAGAGGGAGAAGACACATACGCACAGGGTACACACGCGCGTGCGCAAAACCTACCATCACTGGAAAGAAATAGAATTCTATCACATCACCCAGTGAGTGGAACAAAAAGAAAAAGCACACTCACATACACCAGCACGCACGCTATATGTCGCTGCTCAACTTTCCGTGAATAAATCATCGTTGCCAATAGATTAAAGAAAAACAAACGAAGAAAAAAAATTAAAATGATATTGAGAAAACATTCTACAATAAAATCAATGGATAGCGAAAACACAAAAATAATTTATCTATATATGACAAATGTTAATATATTTATATATATATATATATTCTTCACGTGTAATCTGAATAGAACATATTAAATAATATTGATCTTAATTGAATATTAACATTTAATTATATATGACAAAGCAAAAAATTCTATTAACAAGTTTAGATATCTACATAATAAACAAAAAGATAAACTTCTTCGAAATAACTTTGTTAACTAGATGAAGATTATTTCTATTATTATTGTTATTACTTTCTTTCTTTCTTTCCTTCTTTACTTACTTCTTTCTAATCTATCATTATTAGCTTGACATGAAGTTATAAGTATAAGACGATTTATTGAACAATTTTTTGTTGTAATGCCATCAATTGAAATGACAAAGATGATTATATAGATAATAATCATGACTAAAGTTGATGTTCATTCACTACGTTACAATTGTAAGTGGGCATAATCTCATGATGTTTTTTTTTCCTCTCTTCTTCTATTGCTTCCGTATTTTTCAATGTATGTTCCGATTGTTAATTAATCACACATTTTGATTACGACAAGACTGATTAATTGAAATCTGTTCAATGAGATCAGATTTCATCATCATAAAAGGAACCGATGCCCTATACACAACTTTTTTTTTTCTCTCGTATATTTGCATGACCCTAAATGTCAATTGATAAATGGGCAGTTGAAAATTGAAGAGAAAGACAAGTTGTGTTGAAATACTTGTACAAATAAATATTTTTTCTGTGAAATATAGTTTTGTTTATTGATATTTAAATGAGCTGATTGTAAAAATTAGACTATGTAGATCTAGACAATTACATTTCAATTAGAAAAAAATTCCTTGAAAGAAATATCATATGTTAAAGAAACATGCAGACAACAGATGTTGAAAGTCGAAACAAATATAATATAAATTCTTGTTATCATTATTTAACAGTAAAGGTCACATCATCCGTGTCATCCAATTGTTGCACTCGAAAAATATTCTTCTGTTTCTGAATGGTAAACTGTCAGAACATTAAAAAAAACATAGATCTATTTCCACAATAAATTAATAACTTCTTTGTCATCAGAAAGGCAAAAAGAAGTTTTGTGGATGTATGTGAATGAATTAAATATAGATGAAAAATTCACTAGACTAAATTAATCGGTATTTTTTGATTTAACTTTAGAAAAAGACTAATGTGAGATATATTCGAGAGATTTCATCCAATTAAGAAATATACAATTATTAACTTTGTATTTTTTTCTAATAGCATTATCTTCTTAAAAACATGATATAAATATCCAATAAGGTCTTTTTTTTGTATTGTTCTGTTACGATAGACTGTGTGTCTTATTACTAGTCTCTTGATAAAACAAAACAATCACGACTAAGTAAAAAACAATTCTCTATTGTATTATCCCATGAGTAATCACGTATCTCAAAAATTCCGTTCAATTTATCGTGAAAAAACAATTGTTTTATATTATCATTTCTTATAAAATAGTTTGTAATGAACAACAGCAGACACTTCTGCAGATTAACAACATCCACTACACTAATTAGTGTAATTGACAGAGCATATCAAAGAGTGAGAGTGTTGTGGGGACGCTGATCTGCAGATGTGCTCCAAAATCCAGTGAATAATTAGTAATCAACCATGGTGAATCTGAATATCGGGATCATCCATACTAGTACGGCTTCAGAGTCCCGAGACTCTTAAAAACCGATTAATTACAGTGAAAACCTTTTTCCGTCAAAATATGTTTTTTTGATCTGTCCAAATTGCAGGACGCATCGAATCTGCATAAGTGAATATATCAACATTACATCTACACCCTGGAGATTAATCATCTAAAATCGATAAAATAAACGTATATACAGATATAAAGCCTCATTGGTGTAGATTACAAAAAAAAGTAACAAGTTGTTGCCATTTAAAAGTTTTCGCGTATTATAACGAGCTCTGTGAGTATTCCAAGATAGCAAAGAATAGTTTTTTATACTCAATTTGATGTCCTCTACAATCTGAACAAATCAAAAAAAGTTTTCGCTGAAGTAAACCGAGTTTCCAGAGCCTCAGATCTCTGGAAGTCTAGCAGCAAGAAGAACCATGATATTGGGATAAGCGATTTATCACTTGGATATATTCCCTCATTAGAGCATAACATTTCTAAAATTATTTATGACCGCATATTATTCATAGAAATTCAGTAATACAATAGATATCAATATGTGATTTTAAAATGTTTCACTTGATGTATCTATATGCATATCTCTATCCGGTTAGTTTAGGGGCACGTAAATCGAATCTTGTTTATTAGAACGATCTAATAAATTTTATTTGATTTTTTTTTTCATCTAGATTCAGTTCAATTAAGGAATTAAAAACTGATATCTACTCAATATAAATCATCAATCTACTCGAAGCGAATATAAATTTGTTCGAGAAATATATATTTAACGAAAACTTGTCAAAAAAATCAATTATAATCGAAATTTTTCCTTTATTTTCATTATAATCAATATTTTTCGTTAATTTAAAGAAATTTTTTAGACGAGCTGATAAACTATATGTTTAAATATGAGCTATCGGACGTTAATTTCTTGATTCATAGTTTGTATCTGAATTACAGGTTGTTGGATTAAATCCAATCGAATTAAAAGGTAATAATATATAAAGAATATTTGAAAACAGTATTTAAATTTATAAATCTTTTTCATAATAAAGATTTCGATAAACAATTCATTGATTATAATCGAGCGTGATAAGCAAATTTATCATTATTTAAAGATCCAGGGTGTGGGTGTGTGGATGTGGGTGGAGGTGTGGGTGTGGATGGGAATCTTCTCTTCTTCCACACCCAATTTTATAAAGATAATGCCTAACATAATAGTAATGATAATACTATGAAATTAAATACTGTTCATAAAACCTCTCGACAGAAAGACTTATTACGTACTGTGATAAAGCAAATCGTGTTGGTAGAGATGGATTAGATCCAACAACGCAATTGACTGATTCATCTGATGAATTTTGCGTATTTTCAATAGAATAAAAACAAAGTGAAATTGAAGTACTTCGTTTAACAACTAACTCATATTTTTTTTGTCATTGTATTTTCTAAGAATCATAACACTATTAGTTAATATCAACATAATAATCTTACATAATATGGACAACGTCCGAATTATTTCTGCCGTTTAGTTTTTAGTATTACAGAAAATGATAAAAGCTTGAAAGTATAGAATTAAAAGCCAGTTATCTCGCCAGTATATAGAATATGCTCAAATTTACCATTTTATCCTATTAGACAATAAATTGAAAGTTAACATATTATGAAAAAAATAGTATGGCAATATTTTGAAAGTCATTTTTTGCTCTCTACTATCGTTCGTAGAAAGCCTCAAGAAATCTTCAAATTCTCTTATAAGTCTACTATTTAAAAGAAAACTTAGGCTTGCTTTCGCAACATATATTAATTCATTTGAACAGTTGGCGCTTTTAAAAAGCAAAAACAAAACGAGATATTCAATGCGCAAATTATCTCTTTATCGAGTGTATGGTTGTTCAACTGTTCATCGTAATAGCATCATTGGTTTACCAGATAATCGTGTTGCTTTTCTAGCTGGTTCGTATTTAGTTATACATGATTGTTTAACAAATGAACAACGTTATTTATCTTTTTCTGCTATTGAATTTCTTTATATATCAACAAGTGGTTTATTAATGGGTATAATAGATCGTTTTACACAAAATGGAGATACACGTATACATATATATTCAACAAAACCAGTCGATTTATTATGTACTATCGAACCAGATCGATTCGGAAGTTTTATTGGAATAACAATCAATAAAAATGATAATTTACTTATGATTTTGCATAATGAACCAGCTTATATGATTACAATTCGTAACTAAAAAAAAAATAGAAATAGATAACTGAAGTTTTTCGTTTTTTTTTTTCTGTTTTAGAAGAAATGCAAATTGAATCCGATGAACAACACCGATTCAATATGACTGATTTAGCTTCAGTACGTGTTGTTCATGGATTTGTTTTTAATCGAATGATAAAAAAAGAAATTATACCTCATGTAGCATTTATTAGTTTTTGTCCATATTCATTAAATCTTTTTTGTGCAACTGGTTCAGCATTATTTAAAATTTATGAAATTGATAATCAAAATGTTAATCAACAAACTATTCATTTTCGAGCAGAATTTTATATATTTACATGTCATTGTTGGCTTGATGTCAATAGTATTTTAGTATGATATTTAATTTGTCAAATGAATTTATCTTTTTTTCTTTTTCCTAAGACAGCTACTAATCATGGACATATATTTTGGATTCAAGATGGTTCTATTCGTTCAGATATTAATCTTGAAGAATCGATCACTGTTGATTTACATTTCTTAAAAAAGAATATATCCAATGAAAATTCGAGTCAACAATCGATGACATTAAAATCTTCATCAAGAATAAATACATTAGAATATGGCAAGATTCTCTTCTATATTTTTTTTTTAAAATTGTATAGTTCTATTCTTTCTAGATCCGATTGAAATGTTAAAAGATGATTTATTTACTAGTACTAATAATACTAATATAAATAGTCTAGCAATGATTACTGAAAAACAATCGAAAATTCATTTGGATAACTCACCAAAAAGCAATCAAATATCAGAAGAAATTATTTTATATCTTGATATTTTTACATCGAATGAAATATTACCATGTTTTATAGTTTCATTTCGAGAATACATACTTGTAGTAAGTATTAACAAACATCATCATAAGATGAAATCTATATCTTGTATGAAAAAACCAAAAAAAAAAATTTTCCAAAAATATTTATTATTTCATTACACTATTTTCTCTAGATAAACTAAATTGTGATAAGTTCTTTTTTAAAGTGAGATTTTTTTTTTGACAATAATATTATCATTTATTGAATTGTAAAATTCAATATTTTTGAGAATCAATTTTTATCTATTGATATATTTAACTTTACATTAGCATTCTCCTTGCTATTACAAAGCATTCAATAGAAAAATTTCTTATTGAATTTAGAAACTGTTAAGTTTATTTCTATAAAATTCGAAAAGATATCTCAATAAAATAAAAATGTTAAACATGTTGTGTTTTTCTGTCAATCAGTTCAAACAATAATCGAATGTCTACATTAAAATATTTTGATTCAAACAGAACTAATCTTATAAAAGTATTCTTCAATTTCTTCACACTCATGAAAAACAGATATTCACATCAGTCCCATGTAAATGTTTTATATCAAACATAAGAAATTTAAAAAATTGATCTAGTTCTATAATGTTTTACAATTTAATCATCATACAAAGCTTTTGACTACCTCATTTAAATTCATCTTAAATTTCCTGCTATCGAAAAAAAAATTATTTTTAATTTTTTTTTTGTAACATCTAGTTTACTCCAATCACTGTTGAGCCATTCTTTCAAATAATAGCACGTTATTGTCTTCAAAAAACAAAAGAACATCAAATTGATTTTGAAATACATAATATTTATAAAATGTCATATATATTCGATAATAATTTTTCATTAATTTATCTCTTAACTGATCGTAATCATATATTTCGTTATAAAATTAATCAATCAAATAATAATAATAATATTGAATTGAATGAAAAACATATTTATGGTTTTCATGCATATAATATTTTATCTATTGGTTTATGTGCTCATAAATCTTGGTTAATAACTCTTGGTGGTGATAATTCAATAAAAATATTTGATTATAAAGATAATAATCGAGAGATTATATCAAAATATATTTCCGATAGTGTATATGTAGTTACAGGTAGAAAGAATTTTTTTTTTTTTTTCGATTAAAAATTCGTTTTCTATTTGTTGAAATTAAGGATCTGATCCATATGGTTTTCATATATGTCTAGCAATGAATAATTGTTTTCAATTATATTTAATAACAAATTATGAATTACATATGATACATCAATATGATACACGTAGTATACGAGATTTAGAAATGAGTCAATCAGGACATTTAATAGCTGTTATAACAAATAATTTAATAAAAATTTATTCAACAATTCATTTTAATTTAATAAGTCAATTACGTGGTCATGTTGGAAAAATAAAACAAGTTCAATGGTGTAAAAATGATTCAATTCTTATTAGTTGTGGAACAGATGGAATGATTTATATATTTAATATTTTTACTGGTAAGATTTTAATAATAAATAAAAATAAATTTCTTTATTTCAATGATAACATTGGAAGGTATGAGAGAAAGTGAAATAATAACAAAACAATATCGTTATATTGGTATTGCTGTAACAAATAATTGCAATCGTATATATGCAATAACATCAGATTCAAATATTAAAATATTTAATAATACAAATCTTGAACAAGAATGTCCAATTGAAAATGGTTTTATTCCATCAGCTATTTGTTTATCGAAATCTGAACGTGTACTTTATGTTGGTATGACACATGGTATCATTCGTGTATATACAAGTCCATTGAAATTTGATAATTATATTGATTTATCAGCACATTATTCAAGTATACGTCGTTTATTAGTATCATATGATGATGAATATTTAGTATCCATAGCTGAATCTGCTTATATACTTCTTTTTAAACAGACAATAAATAATTTAAATTCTGTTTCAAGTCAATATCAATTTTCACAATTATCTATAGAAAATGTTGAAATTATTGATGAACAAGAAAGAACACAAACAATATTTGAATATATTTTAGTTACAAAATCAGAATTTGATGAACGAAAAAGAAAAATAAAAGAAATTCAAACACGAATTAAGTGAGTTGTATTCAAGAAGAAAATCACAAATCATCAAATCTACTCTTTCTTATTTGATTATCGGTTTTTCAAGCTAACAAATATTTTGCTAAAATCTTTTGTGATCTACTTAGATTATAGAGCATATCAAATTATCTATAAGTTCAGTAATCTTTTCTCTTTTCCAAATACGAGTTTTCAGTAAAATAATATAATCTTTAAGATTTTCACAATGAAATGTGGAGATGTATCTGTTGTCTGAATTAAAACAGCTGAATTTTCTGTACAAAAAAAAATAAATAATTTGAAACAGAAAAATTCAAAAAGTTCTTTTATGGTGAAAAGTCGATAACCTACAATCTATTACTTTTCAATAAAAAAGCGATTGATCAGTTGAAAACATCCCTTAATATGTACACATATGAGTCTAAAGAACAAAAAAAAAAAGCGTTAGTGGAATTTTTATTAAATGTGAAGTTAGATGATCATATAATAAATATAAGCCCGAATGTAAGAGCAATATCTGTGTTATATACAATTGTATTTTATGTTTATTTTTCATTCTTACTGTTTGAAGGACTTAATCTTGTTCATATAATATATTTTATTAAATTTATTAATCTTTTATAGTGAATTTGAAGCAGAAAATAATTTAAAATTAAGTTCAAAACAACTAGCATTTTCTAAACATTTAAATAATTATTCAAATAAATTTCAAACAATGATGAAACAACTTATTCTTACATATGAACAATTAAAAACTGAAATTGCAAATAATAATTGTAATTTTATCAATCAAACAAATGAAATAGAAGAAAAATATAAAACACTTCAAAATCATACTGAAGTTATCTATGAAAATAAAATGCTAGAAACGGTTTTGATTCATTTGTTTTTTTCTTTTTCGTAACGATTCAAATGACTTTTTTTTTTAGCTTTCACATATTCAAAATACACAATCTCAATTAGAAAAACTTAAAATAGAATATGAAAATAAAATAATTGATTTTAATAATAAAGAACATATTAATCTAACTGAAATAGTCAACAAAATGAATGTAACACTTCAATCAAAATGGTGTTCAGCTATTCATAATTATGAAACAATTCAAGAAAAAGAACGTCAAATAAATGAATATATAAGACAAATGGAAATCGATATTGATGATGAAATTGAAAATGTTAAAATTAATTATGAAAAAGAATTGAAATTTTTAAATGAATATGCAAAACAACTTACTTTTACTGTATGTTAGAGAGATTTTAGAAATATTGACAAGTAGTCAAATTGTATTTAAATATAATTAAAAACAAATGAATCATTAAAGTAGTTCTATCTGATAGTTTGTCATCAAAAGAAAGATCTTCTGCATACAAAAATTTTATGTTAAAGATGTTTTATTATTTGAAAATAAGCTATTTCTATTTGTTACATGTTTCTCTCACTGTTATTATTGTCTCGTTTCTTAATATCTTTTCCAGGCTAAAACGAATTAAATTTCTTTACTTTTCATTCCACTACTATTAAATCAATAGACAAAAAAAAAGAAGAGTTCTTATTTAATTGTACTATCTGTGATTAATCAAAGTAAAATTGATCTATTCATAACAAAGACTGAAATATAAAGAATTTCATATAGTTTATTGTATTTTTAATTGATGAATTCTTCATCCGCTTTGCTTCTTTCTCAATGATATCGTATCAAGACTGTAATCTACTTCAGATGCTGGATTTGTTTAAATATAAAGACTAGATACAAATAGAATTATCAAGCTTTCACTAAGAGAACATCTGTAAGGGCAATGCTATGTCTTATCTTGAAACTTTTCCCATTTACTAAATCAGTAAAGGTTATTATTAGATATGGAATGCTTCGTTCTATTTTTAAATAGAAACTGAGTTCAGTTCTAATCTTTTGAATGACATATAATATTAAACTCTCATCTTCTGTTAGTGAAAATGAAATACTGATTTTTACACACTCACAATGGATGTCGATCTTTTTATTTTATTTTAGGTGAGTACTCTTCGTAAACGTTACAATGCTATAATCGATCGATTAGAATCTCGTGATATCAAACGAAATGATATTGAAAAAGAAGTTAAAGAATTATACAATCGTCAATCAGAATTAATTGAAAAACTTGATCGTTTTCGTTTAAGTACGAATAAGAAATTTTTTTTATTTAGATTTTTTGAAAATATTTATTGTTTAGTTATTAAAAAGAAAGAAGATCGTATTGGTACACATGATATAAAATTACATCGTTTACAACAACATATATTACATGTTGAAAAACGTAAATATGTTCTTGATTATAAAACAAAATCTTTATTAGAACGTATTGAACCAATCGATCAAGAAATAATAAGATTAAAAACAAATAATCAAAATATTGAACAACAATTAACAATTCTTAAAAAACAACAAAATGATTTAATTTTACGTGAAAATGAATATGAAATTAAATTAAATGAATCATCTAAACAATTAAATCTAGCAAAAAGAAATCATCAATATATATGGAAAATAGTTCAACAACAAAAAGGTTTGATAAAAAAAAAAAAAAATATTAAAGAAAATTTTTATCATTATTTATTAATTTAGAACTAATAAAAAAAGCATTTGAATATATTGAAATCAATTGTACATTTGATATAACAAATCCGATTAATAATTCAAAAGAACAATTTAAAAAATTTATTCAGGATATGTGTAATACAATACAAAATGAACAACAAACTGAAAATCAATTAGAAATACAAGGATTTATGAAAGAATGGAATAATCAACGGAAATGGTTACTTAATCAAGTATAAGAAAAAATTTCATTATCTTCAATTTTTCGAGATTAAATAAAGTGATTCAATGAATATGTAATTTATAAAGATATGGTGTGGGTGTGCACCTCTACTTTTAAAAAATTTCTTTGCATCCTCTCTTACACTTTTCTCTTTGCTACAATCGTGATAATTTTGAGTAAAGACTTTTCTTTTATTCATACAAATTTAATCTATTATGCGTTCTAATCTGAAGAACAAAATCTTAATTTTTGATTAAAATATATCTGAATTAAATTAATCATAATAGACAATTAAGACCAAATAGAATATTCAGAAATGTGAATTTTAGTTGTACAAATCATGATAGACATTGTTACACCAAACCGTAAATCATATTATGAGATTACTATGAAACATGACTGTTCAGTTTATAATAAGAAAAATGATTTTGTCCTTTCATCTATTCTTCAAGTATTCATCATACACAATAAGCAAGAGAACGAATTAAAATACTAGCTCTTGGCCACTTTTTTCTATTCCATTTTATATTTTACAATTAAACCTTTCACACATTCACAAGGATTTCACTAAGAATTTAGTCAAAACTATTTACTTATCCATGATAAAACACTAACTGAAATTATTTTATTTTCAATAGAAGTATGTACACACACACACACACACACACTTCTTTGTTTGCTACCGTCTTCAATGACTCTTAAATAATAAAATTTTATCCTGAACCTTCAACAGATTTTGTTACAAGTGGATATATATATATATATATATTCGACCTTCAGTTTGTGTGTGATGTTTTTTTTTTGTAGTGCTTATGACTGATTTTATTCATCAGACACTATCTACTTAATTTGACAAGACAATTTTTTCAAGAATATTCTGATCACTTTTTTTTCTAGCGAACTAAAAAAAGTTTTTTAAAGGCAAAATGTACGATTTCAAATAGGATTTTCGATAGTTTATGAAAGACTTCTGTAGTTAAATTCTAAAGTTCTTTTGTTAATAAAAGATTATTTCACTTATTATTTTTATAGTTGAATAATCTAACAAAATATACTGAAGAAAATAAACAATCATTTGTTAATATTCAACGTGAACATCGTAAAGGTAAAAGATAAAATTGTCATTTATTTCTATTATTTATATATTTATCTATTATTCAGCTATTGCACCATTTATAAATCAACTTCGTGAATTACATAATTTATATGATGATATTCAAAAAAAAATTCAAAAACGTTTATTACAATTAAAAATTAAAACAAATGAACAAACAGAATTTTTACAAAATATATCAGATATATTACATGGAAATAAAAAGATTCATTTAAAAATACATAAAATATATCAAAATGAATTATTAATTGAAACTCAAGATAAAGAAATAGATCGTTTAAATTCAATTATATTTCGTTATCAATATTCTACACCATGTTTAGAATATAATCAAAAAAATTTTATTCATAATAATGAAAATAATACAACAAGATCAACAATTCCATTATCATCATCTATAAGAACTAACGATTAAATAAATTCTCTTAATCAACTAAAAAAATAAACAAAAATATTATTCTATATAATATGTCAATTGTTTTTAAATATATTGAAGTGTTTTGTTGAAAAAGAAATAATTCGATCAATAAATGCATTGTTAAGTCTGTTGAATATGTCTGAATAAAAAGTACACATTGTTTAAGAACTATTATTATTATTATTATTAAAATTGATTGAAGATTAAATGATCCTGTATTAAAAAAAAAAAGGTGAAAATTCATTAACTTTGTTCCTTAATATTCTATTCTAATATGTCTGTCTGTCTATTTTATTATCGATGAACAAAGAAAATGAAAAAGATAGGGCCTTCAGTCTACTTAAGATTACAAACTATAAGCGATCATTGACTGACGACAGGTGGTCGTCATACTAAGAGAACGAAAAGCGCGTGAGTGCTATTCAATCCTCTCTTTCTCTCTTCTTTCAATATAATATAGCAGTTGCAACGTTTGCATGCCATTCTTTCAACAATAAATACTACCTTATTTTCGTTCTTACGTGCAACACGCACACACACACGTACAACAAGTAGTAATAGTAGTGCCAATACATATTCTTCATTTTGTTCTTCTTGTTCTCATATATTTAAGTCCAAAGAGAAAAAAAAACAAAAAAAAGGAATCAAAAGCGAAAGAAATTGGCACGTACAACATTTGACCTCTGTTCTTTTTTTCATATACATACAGATGATGATGATGCGAAGATGAAGATGATGATCGTAAGTATCGTCAATAAATCATTTTTTATATTTGCTTGATTTTTTCTAAATACTGCCAAGAGTCTTATTATCAAATATGCAGAAGAACAAATATGTTCTAATATTATACTCTAATTCCATTTATATATATATATACATATAAACTCATTAAATGTTTTACGTTTAATTTATTGAAGAAGAAAGGAAGACAGAGAGAGTCAAAAGTAATAATCAACGTTGATTGAGAAACAAAAACACTTGAACAATAAAGCAAGGCAAGATTCTTCCTTTCAGTCTAAGACAAGTAAACAGAAAAAAAAACTTGAAAAATGATGAAATGAAGAGAGACGTCAGGCTTAATTGTGCTTCTAATTCATAAATGAGCAAAATGAAAGACAAGTGTGTATTTGTTGATTCAAATTAGCAGCACAAAGCAGACTGTAAAATATCATTGTGATCGTCAGCAGAGGTAAGCAAAAAAAAAAAAGAAAAGTATTCAACTTACACATACGTTCAAACTGTTTATTGGGTATAAGATTTTAACAAAATATGGGTTTCTTTTATAAAAAAAAAAGGAAGCAAAGAAGCAAAAGTTTATCGTTGAAAAAAATGAGAAGATAAAAAAAAATGTTTTTCTTTACAAACCAAAAGAATTAAGTTAGAATTAACAATAAAAAAAAAAGGAAGAGAAACAAAAAATACAATCAACAAATAATTTTTATTGATTGAGCAATGTTTCAGAATTAGTTGTGATTATCAAGTTTTATTGTTCATATTGTGTGTAAGTCATATTGATATGTAAATATATATCTTTGATCGTTATATACGTAAGTTTTCATATGACGAGACTATATGAAAATAGAGTAAAGAGAAAAAATGTAAGACAGAAAGAGAAAAAAAAAAAGATCTATGTATGTTCTTTGTTGTCCTTCAGTTTCTTTTGTTTTATATTTATTAACTCTTATCTATTTTATTTATATCTCTACCGAGTTAGGTTTGGTGCTGTTATGTTCCTCACAACCAACTTCATTGATAGTGACATCTGATAATAATAAGAATTCAGTTATGACAACTACAACAAATATTTCATCGAATTCAGTTAGTTTTTTACCATTAAAAACATCAATACAACAAACAGCATGTAACACATGCAAACGTCTTCTATATTCATTTGAAGAAATCCTTGTTTGTTAGTATATCTTTACAAATATTCTTTCATTTGTTTGATCTTTAATAATATAGGTCGTGTTTGTCATGATTCGTATCATTGGCGTTGTGTGAAACCTGAAACGGTTATTCACTATGGTGAAAATGAAAATTATATTTGTGATAAATGTAATGGCGGTATAACAACTAGTCCATCTGATCGAATCACAAATGGTGGTATTAAATTTGAATCAACTGATTCTTCTATTCCAGATTATCGAGATGTTGCTAATATACCATCAAAAACCAATTCAACAGAAACAAATGTTCTTAATACTATTCGATATTTTGAAGAAAAACAACAACAATCTCAGACAAATAAAACAACGAAAGTATCTGAACTTAATGGTTATCTTCCATTACCAACTAATGAAAGAGAATATCATCAGCATAATGGTAAGATTTAAAATGTATAATTAAATAAAGAACAAAAAAAAAATATATCTTCACTTTCAACATACATTTCTTTGTTTTTTATGTGATGATATTGATTTGAAACATTCTTATTCAAAAGATCATAAACGAAATACATATTAAACAAAGAGAGAATAGAATAAAACTAATGTAATATAATCAATTACTACATAGTAAATTTTTTTTTAAAAGAAAATTTATCTTTCATCCTTGTCTATTATTCAAAATTTGTACTTATATATAATCAGTGGCGATCCGAAGCAGTCAACATATTAGCGGGGAAGGGAGATCACAATTTTTTGCAAAAAGAATAACACCTTTCTTCTAGCAGAATACAACGAGAGAATTTCGATTCGGCTGTGAAAAAATACAAACTTATTATGACTGAGGTGATATTTTACACCCTCCGTACTCCCGATCGAACCATCACTACATATAATTCTATTCGTAAGCTATATAAGTGAAATCAATAATAGAAAGAATTGAAGTTCATGCATGTATGTACGTAGTTATCATCATCTTATGCGTAATGACAAACACGAGTGTGATCAATACATATGAACAAATATAAATCCTTTTTAAATGTTCTCTCGTTCCTTTTTTCTTGTCTTCATCTTGATTCACACCATATATATATACACATACTCTTTATCAATCTCATGCTTCTGTTACAATGTCTCATTTTTTTCTTATCAGTTAGTATTTGTCTTTTTTGTTTGCATAGGTCAATACAGCGATGGCAGTCGAACAACTCAACGAATTCAACAACAAACGTATAACGGAATAGAAAGTGACAACGAAAACGATACAACAGCAATGTTTCAAGCTAATTACCAATACACTCCTCTTAAAGAATATGCTGCACTGAGAGGTAGTCAAACAACAAATGATAAATATACAAATGGTTGTCAAAGTAAATAAACACTATTTCATCTCTTTTTTTTTTTTGCAAACTATTTAAAAAATAAAACCCGAAAAAAAAAAATTTACAAATTGATAAAATATACGTTTTAGAAAATGCCATTAAATGGCAAAAAAATATTTTAAAACGTGAAAAAAATTCAGATATTATTCTTTTCACTCTATTTGCGCGTGAGTATTCTTCTTTTAAAAAGATTTTATGATCTCAGGGATTTCTATTCTACATGATACATTATAGGGAAATCTTTTTTTCTTTTTCTTTTATACTTAAATCGACACCATTGCTAACATTAGACATATAGAATAACAGGGATGAAACGATAAGAATTATTTATTTTTCTTATTAATCGAAAGATTACGATTTGTAACTATTTAAGATTTTTTTTTTTATAGGTTTTAACTAAAGAAATGATTACGTAAAAAAAAAAAAAGAATACATTCAATATCCTAGAATATAAGTTGTCTTTTAAAACAATTCGATGAAATCTTATATTGAATATCTTATTTGAAAATTCAAATCTTAGTTTACTTTCGATAAGATTAAAATTTTTATGTAATAAGAAGTATCAGATTTTAATTTCATTCTTAATTAAATATCACCAATGAACATTTACATATGTCTTTAATCTAATTCAAACATTTTTTTTTTTTCTCAATTATTCAGATCCTCCTCCAGATATTGACGTTCGTCAAACAACATCTCGTTATGGTGGTGGTTTACGTTATTCAAATCATGGTTATGATCCAACAGTTTCACGTCTTGTTGAAGCTCCCATAACTGATGGACCACATTTTGTAACTCCAATAACTAATAATTTACCAAATCATAATCGTGAACAACATTTTGTTAGTACAACTAATTTAAATATTAATGAAAAAGAGTTTCGTCGTCAACAACAGCAACAGCAACGACAACAAAGCTCTCTTACTGATGCAGCTCCATATATATCTCAAATTCGTCATGATTATCCATCAATATTTAAACCTTCAACTCAAGAACAACAACAACAACAACAACAACAAGAGTGTCAGACAACAGTTGGTAGTAATTCAGGTATTCCTATGGCTCATTCAAATTCTCAACAGCAACAACAATCGAATGAAAATCAAGCAGTTGAAAGAAAATTAACGACTTTAGTTCAACAATTAGGAAAACAATTAGAAGATGATGCACAAAAAATCAATGAAAAATTAGAATTAAAATTAAAAAAATTTGAAGATATGATTAATCAACAAACATATGTTATTCGACAACAAGATGAAGTTATTGAACGTTTAAAAAGTAAAATACTTAAAATTGAAACAGAACGTGATCATTTTCGTGATCGTTTAAATGTACATGAACAACGTGAACAAGGTGACAAGAAAAATTTTACAACAAATCAAACAGATAAATCTTATGATCAACCTGTTAATAATGAACAAGATAATGAATTAAATAAAAAATATTCAGATACATCAACAAGTACTACAGACAATACCAAATTATCAACGAAAAAGGTTGAAAAAAAATAATAATTTCGTTTTTTTTTTTTCTTGACAAAAGAAAATGAAATTTACTTAATTTTCAAATATTTCCTAAGAGTAGACTTTCTTGAGAGATTGATTATTGTAAAATAAAGATTATAAGTTATGTTGGAAGTAGGATAAAAATTTTTTCAATAGAACTACTCGTATATGAACTAGTACTGTTACAAGAAAGTAATTCGATTGCATTATGAGTTATAATTCCGTCTTATTAATCGAACTAAACCTTGAAACTATTTAAAAAATCTAATCAGAAAATGCGTGTATCAACAATTCTTCTCTTACACTTTGGCCAATGTTACTGAGGCTTTTTATTATAGTAAGAAATATAGAGAAAAAAAATGGTATTAAACATTTGAACTAGAAATTTTCTCAAGTATAGTCTTATATCTTTCAAAATATTTCTTAAACGGAGATAGATAGCTTCAATTTGAAGTTAGTATAGAATTCGAGCAGAATATAGTAGAGTTACACATCTCTATTCTTAAATTTTAAATTATAATAGATAATTTATTTATAAGATATTGATTAGTGAAGAAAATGTTGATTGTTGAACGTTTTTTCGAATGTTAGAGGATAATAAACAGATTATAAGTCTTATTTCTGAACGAAATTTCAAATATTTTTACAGTAATTTTATGAAATCATAGTTAACGAATTCGTTATAAGATTCTCTTATTAATAAAACTCATCATCAAAGATATTCATAGAAGTTATTGTAAATCATTTTTTATCTATATGTGTAGGCTGCTGCACCACGTGTCGGTAATCGATGGTCAGCAACTAATAAGCAGAATGAACCAATGAGAGCTCAACTTGTGAAAAATATTTCAACTAATCGAGAACGAGATGCATTTGAATCTTCATCAGCTCCAACAGGTCCTTTAATCGAAACACCAGCTGCATCAAATCGTCTTGATAATATAATTCATCAATCAAATGGAGGAGATCTAACACATCGATCATCATCAAATTATAGTTTAGCTCAAGTTCGTCGTCAAGATCGACCACGAAATCTTGAACCTGTTACAATGGAAAAACAACAAATTGTAACAAGTGTTCATAATAATACGGTAAAACAACAACGATCAAATGCATCATCACCACCATCATCATCATCATCATCATCAGCATCAAGTCCACCAAATTCAAGAAAATCACCTGTTAAAAAATCTAATGCAATATCAACAAAAACAAGTGAAAGTTCAAATATTCATCGAAGTTTAGAATCATTACCAAATACATATAAAAATAATCAAGGTGCGAGATTAACGAATAAAACATCTTCACTTGAATTCGGTACAAGACCGGTGCAATATGATGATTTAGGTAAATTTATCTTTTTGCTTTTTTGTTTTTCTTTTCTTATTTATTTATTATATTTAGGATCAACTTATATAACACCTATTGAAGGAAGTCAATCAGCTATTCAATCAAATGGTTTTATTAAAGGATGGCTTCGAAAACAAAATCGAGATTCATTTTTAAAACGAATTGAACGTTATTATTGTGTTTTAAGAGGAGATACATTCTTAATGTATCGACATGAGCACGATAGAATACCACATAAAACAATACAACTTACAGGTTAAAAAATTAATTTTTGAATTCAACAAAACAAAATACAAACAAATACTAAACTTTTATTTTTTTTTATTTAATGAATATTTAGGTGCAAAAGTACTTCTTTATGATGATTCTAAATATGGTCCATCACTTGAATTAACTTGGACAAATCAATCAGATGAAATTAAACATTATCATGTAAATCATAATTTAGAATATTTTGATATTTAAATGAGAATATATTCAAATTGAAGTAGTGAAATCCAACCGTTCGAATAAGACTGGTAGAATTAGAATATTTTATAGATGGGGTGGATCAAGGTTAAGCATAATTACAAAATCTTTTTGTCTAATGTATTTGAAACATAAAAAGTTTTCTTTTGATAAAGTTTGAAATATTTTTTTTTTTAATATTGTCCCCTGACTTTAACATATGCAATCATAATTCTGAATTTTATGATATCATAGAAAACTTACAAATGAATGCTAGATAAACTCATACATAAAGAGGAAATATTTAGCTATGTCTGAGACGCAACTAACTCTTTGTACCAATAATTTCAAATTATCTGCGGATTTCATTTTAACTCAATAGTATTAGTATAGATTCAAGAATCTATATAAAATTTTCACTATCCGTTGCACAAGACTAGACAATATTTCCTTTTATAAGTCAATGATTTGCTCAAAATTTAATCAAACTTACTTTTAAACTAAGCATAATCTGATAGAATGAAATCGAACAAACTCTTCATAGAAATTGTTTCTATTTACCATGTATTCTATCTTCAATCAACAACAAATAATAATCATATATTTTTTTTTCATTTAGTTATATGTCTCTAATGCACAAGAAGCTGATGAATGGGTAACTGGTATTCAAACAGCAATATACAGTATAGAACAAAGTATGATATATTATTTTATTTGTATTATATATCGAAAAAAATTTCTATTTAATAGGAGATTTTCAATAAAAAGTATATTAATGCTAATATTAATTTAAAAAAAAAAACGCTCCTGATTTTCTTCTTAAGAGAAAACTTCATTCGAATTTAATAAGATAATGATCTAATTATTTCTATTTTATTTAGAAAATCATTGGCGTCCATATCATCTAAATGCATAAGACAATCGACACATCAATTATATTGGTTTTTTTTTGTCTTTTAATTTTCGACATTATTTCCCGTCCATCCTATGACTTGATGTTTTCATACTTTGTGTCTTCTGTTCTTTCTCTTTTTCTCTTTTTTTTTGCTCATATACGTTAATTTTTTTTTTTTTTTGTTTATTCTATTTGCTATACATGCATAATTATTTATACTTCTGCTCTTTATATAAATAGAACAAAGATGAATGCCTTCTGAAAAGGAATGTTGTTTTTCTTTTTTGCGCGTTGAAATTTTAATTTTTTTTCTTTGTTTTTTTTTTTTCTTTCTTCCGTTTCGAAAATGTTGATTTGTATTTGAATATATTTCAATCACATAATGAAGATTGATTTATCTAAAATTCAAATTTTATTAAATGGATTCATATAAACATCATGAAAATAAAAAAAGAAAACTTAGTAAATCAAAAGAACATGACAAACATTTAAAAAGAAAAGATAATAAAAATGATAAATTAACTAGTTGGTTTAGACAATGTTGTCATTCGAGAAAACATCATATAAAATCGATGAAAAATGATAAAATACTTGAAACATCTATGAAAAAAATTTCATTAGAAAATGAAAATATAAATATACAATTAAAATCTAATTTACCCATACAATCAGTTTCTAATGAAAAAATTTCGAACATACAAATGACACATTTAAAACGATTACCATTATATAATGAATCTATGATTTGTCAAAAAATATTTGAATCGTATGATGATTCATGTATTGAATGTACTGTTCAATATGGACCTGATTCATGGGAAGATATTCATGAAAATTTTCAAAATTCAAACAAACAATTATATGATAATAATAAAGTAAAATGAATTAATGAATAATTCAGAATCAAATAGATTTATTCAAATAAACTTTGGTTTTTGTCATCTATCTTGTAAATGTTAGATGTTTCGATATTTCTAATGATAAGCAGACATCAGAATAGAAATAATTCAATGCCGTATATATGTTTTATAATAAGATCTTTTGATGTCTATTTCTAGTCTACATCAACCGAAGGACTTGTCACATGTCTAGACGAGAAAGTCAATAATGATGACATTGATAGGTGGTCTTCAAAAGAAAAATTCATAAATAAAACATTAAATCCTTTAAAAACTAATGTAAATTCGTTTATCAATGATATTATTGGTGATGGAGTTGATCGTATATCCGAGATAATTACAATGATATCAACTCATCATAATAAACAAAATGATCTTAGAATAGATAAAAAATTATCGACAAATATCGAAGATAATTTTCCACTAAATAAATCAAATAAAAGATCATTCGATTATGAAAAAAGAATACAAAATCTTAATAGTATTAAACAACATCAATACCAATATCCAGGACTTGTCTTTGAAAAACAAAGTATATAATCAATATTTATAAACACATATATATTTATATGTATCATCTTAGACTTAAAAACAAAATCACCAATGTATTATCATTCATCCATTGAACTTTCTTTAGACAATACATCATCAAAAATGACTCCAAATGATTACTGTAATAAAGAGAGAGAGAGAAAAAACGTTCGAAAATTTTTTCGTTTTGTAGACTGGGATCTAGGTTCAAATAAAACAAATATTAATCAACAAGAAATACTTAATAAAAAAAATTCATCACAAAATCAAGAATCTTATAGTAAATTATAAAATTATATGAAAAAATAAATACTCAAATATTTTAGATTGGGATGATCAAGAATATCTATGGTCATCATCATTCGATTTATCTCAAAAAGATCATTTGGTTGATAGTCTGTAAAAAAGAAAATATTAAATTCAATAAATCTATTAATGTTGGTTTTTTTTCTTCTTCAGATTCCGTACATGATCAATCTAAGCAAATAGTAATCAATGATGAAGATAAATTTTTATCAGATAATGATAATGATGATCTTTCATACACAGTTGCATCAGTTTTACCATCAAATACAATAAAGAAACCACAATTATATACGAATGATGTACAAAATTCAAATTCATCTCTCGATATTCTCAATCAACAACAAACTTTTTCGACAAATGAATTTCGTGAAAATATTGATAAAATATCAGATCATGAAAATAAGAATGAATATAACCTAGGAAAGATCTATTCGAATGAATTCGAAGATCAAAATCTTATGAATATGAATCAACAACAAATATCTATTTCAAATTTTATTGATCAGAATAATTTATTATCAACAATAAATTCTATTCATTCCTTAGAACTTATTCAAGATAAAATTCAAAGAATAAATTCAAATAAAGATATTTCAATTTCTTCTATACATGATAATAGATCATTCTCAAAAAAAAATATTTTAAATTTTCATGAACAACAACCATTATTCGATGATATTCAATTTCAATTATCATCTCAAATAGATCAACAATATGAATTCATATCACAAAATGATCAATTTAGTACAAGATCTATTAGTAATCTTTTCAAACAAATTGATCATATAAAAAAACAAAAATCAATCGATTTAGATTCAATTAATACAGCTTACTCAATACCTATTTCAGGACATTCGTCAGTACTATTAGAAACAATAACAGGTAAACATAATAAAAAATAATATTCAATCATCACGAATAACTTTAACTGAAGAGTGTCGTTCGATTTCATCAAATATCGAAAAAAAAAAAACAACATAAAAATATTATAATTTTAGATGCAAAAGATCAAACTCTGCCAACTAGTATAAAAAATTCTCAATCTCATTCGATTGATAAACAGGAAAAAGAATTGTTAAACACTGAAATTAATAATAATATTACTCAAACTCGTTCCACATATGATAATACGTAAGTTAGTAAATTTATAATCTTCATTTAAAATTCAATCTTATATTACATTTTTATTTCAGGATAATTTCTTGGCGACGTTTATTTGAACGTCTTTTAAGTTTCATCTTACCTTCTATACATAATACTGATAATAATATGAATTTATCTTCATCTATTATATCATCTGATACTTATTCGTGGTCGACATTGATACCAACAGATATATTTAATATGACTCAATCTGATAGTATTGGTCCATGGTGGGGCCGACGTGATGCTTATAATCAAACTCCTGCTACATTTATATTCGCTAATGAATCATTAAATACATCATATTCAATAGAAACGATTACTAACAATAAACAAATGTGTATATCTATAGAGAATAGACCATGCTACTCTAAATATTATAGTTATCCGAATACATGTCATTGCTGTTGCAATTCATCGATAACTATAAACAATAATTCATCATCTTCTTAATGTACATCATAAAAAATTCTTTTTTTTTTCTTCATATTCAACAAACTCTACTCATCATTTATAATAAATCGACTATATTTATTTCGATAGTATATTTCTATCGATGTAGTTAATGAAGTATAAGAAATGAATTTTAGAAGTTCATATAAATTCAATCAATCTTAACTGTTCTATTCTTGATTAAGTACATGATGAAAAATATATTCATAACTTTTTATTTTTCTAATATCATTATTGACTCAAAAAATAATATATCATTACGTAAAAAATTTAAGTGTGCATGATTTATTTTTCATACTTCAGATTGTGTTATTAAAAACATAGATGATATTCTATTCATAGCATCATGGACAATTATGATTCACAGCAGTAGCTGTTCAAAGTGTTCTTAATTTGGTGGCGATCATTGATCTTATAAAAATAAGATAAACATTGCTATTCATTTGAAGTAAATGCAGACATTTCCGATGTTTTTTTTTCTATATATGAATAGATGTTAAGATGAATAGGGAAATCAATATTTTGGTTAGATTTATTTTCTTTTTCGATAATTATGATATCAATTCCTGATTGGGAACTAAAGAGAGAATACATCAGACTCATATTCTCATGCATTCATTGGTACATTATGATGTAATCAATTTATTTTTATGTGCTAAAACACGTTTGTTCTTTATTTCGTTGATCTCTTCTATACACTTTGTACGTATTATTCGAGAAGACAATAAAGAAAATTGTATGTATGTGTAGGTGTCCAGACACGTTTATCAATTTTCACATTGATACTTACTATCAATAATTATTCTACTAGTGCTATTTGTAAATTACATCTCTATGATTAATAGCCTTGTGAGAGACATATAATGAACTACAACATGTTGATGTTAGATGAAGAGGTAAAGAGATAGAAGATGATTCTTCGTTTTTTTTTTCTCTTTCTCTCATACTCCGATTTGTTATACAATGTGCCGCCGGTACGGATCGACATTTTCTTTTTCTTTGTTTTCTCGTAAACAGATAGATAATCTTCTCGACACACTCTCGCTCTCTTTGTTTTATTGAGTACTTATGTATGACACAACATTTATTGAATATCTGATTGTTTGACTAAAGTCTTCAATAATAAACAATTGAGAATTATTCTTTAATGGATGCTGATTTAGCAGAAAAACTTAATCAAAGAATTCGTCGTATTGAATCCGTTGAATCATCTTCAGAAACATCATCAATTAATGGAAATGGAATGATCGATGATATTGATTTATCATATTCATTAACAAATTATGAATATCAACGATCTGATATATTCAATCCATATACGGAATATAATGAATTTTCACGAAAACAAATACAAAATTTAATGCAAATATTTGATAAGTACGTGTAGAATGAAAAATAAATTAGATTTATTTTTATTTTTTTTTGGAAGATATGATACCGATAGAGATAAATCACTTAATTTTAATGAATTAAAATTTATGATGGAAAAACTTGGTATTCCACAAACACATTTAAGTTTAAAAGAAATGATTAAACAAGTCGATGAAGATCATGATGGTAAAATATCATTTCGAGAAGTAAGAAAAATAATTATATTTATTCTATATAATTCTTTAATACTATGTTGTTTTTTTTATAGTTCTTACTTATTTTTCGAAAAGCAATCTCTGAAACTAATGAAGCAGAATATGAAAAATCATCTATTTTATATCAACTTTATGCAATGCTTTTTGAAATTGATGTTTCAAAAGAAGGTGTCGGTGGTGCAAAACATTTTTTTGAAGCTAAAGTAAAGATTTCTTTTTCAAAAATATTGTTTTGTTTTTCTTTTATTTAAAGATTTTATTTTTAGATAGCTGCAGTTAAATATAGTGACAAATTTCAACGAGAAATTCGTGAAGAACAAGAACAACGACGTCATATAGAAGAAGATAAAATTCGTCGTAAATTAGCATTTCAAAATCGTCTTGCACAATTTCAAACAACATAACTATAAATACAAAATATAGTCTATGCTGTGATAAATTTTCTTAATATACTCTTGCATGTAATGTTCTTATTTTAGACAGTTTATGAATTTTTATTATTTAATTAGAATGCAATTCTTCTTTGTTTTCTTTCAATACAATAAACTCATTTTTCTTGCTCTTTGTTGAATAAAAAACATAAAAGTTTTATCTTCAAAGATTCGACAAATATATAAATAATTAAGAATTCTTTTTTAGTTATAAAAATAAGTAATTGGAAACTATCGTATTTGTAAGATATGTTGATAAATATTACATACAAACAAAGATATTCTTTGTATATCAGTTGAATAAGCTTAATATTTATGCTTTTTTTTGTGTGACGAAATGATTCGCAAATTTCTATATATGATTATTAAAAAAATGTGAAATCATAACTAGAAGTATGTAAGTCATATTATGGAAAACATGCAGACTTTTACAAAGTCGTATTTTGTTTTTGACGAGATGACAATTAAAACTATAGTAGATATATATTAGTTCTGATCTTCAGATTTCATTTAGACAATTTATCTGAATTTTTGAGTTTGGATATAGAGTGGACTATAAATAGTACTACGATAAAAAATTGAAATATCTCTACTTCAGTTCGCTTTAATGGACTAATTTTTTTGTTAGCTGTAGAAGATTATTTAAAATTCTTTTTTTTTTACGTGAATAATGTAATCAAATACCTCAATCAAGTTGTATCTTTAGTCTCATTAAAAAAAATTTCACTTATTGTCACGTAAGAAAAATACAGAAGGACTAATTTCAACGTTGAAACTGACTAGTTTTGAAAGCTTGCTCAATGTGTATCAATATAGTATCATGTTTCTTCTTATTATTCTCTTAAATGACAGCTGAAAATTATTTATGAAACGCTTCATATATGTTTATCTTATTTGACAATCAGTGAAAATTCTTTATCAAAATCAAAAATATGATTTGACAGTAGCGTTTGTTTACGTTATTCATATGAAAACAAAAAATTTAAATAACCTTCTACAACTAACGAAAAAATCAGTCTACTCAGATACATCGAAGAGGAGATTTTTCAATTTTCTATTGTAGTACTACGTATATAGCTCATTCTGTAGCATTATTTTTGATTAGAAACAAGAGGAAACAAATGAGAATAGATCATTATTGTCTATGTTCTTATATTTTTGAAATGATATCTACTATTATTACAATACTCATATCGAAAATTGAAGAATTATTTATACAGAATAACAAACAATCTTTTTCTTTAATCTTTGTGTATAATAGAAAACATCTTAACACTTTTTCGACAAAAAAAACACGAAGTATTAAGCCTAGTATAATGGGACAAACAATAATTGAAGCTTAAACTATTCGATTAACACAACAGATGCAAAGGAATTTTTAATTTGATTCTCAATCGATAAAACACGAAACATCAGAATAACAAAAAAAAAAACGAATCATACTCGTGAAAATTATATCTTTATTATAAACACATGAACTTACTATTACCCACTGATCGTATGATCATTAGACACTATAAAAATAATGATAACAAATAAAAAAAAAAAGAAACATTAGGATGGCTTATCGAACACGAATGCGAGCTATTGTAATGTCTGCTGTAGACGATGTAAGTTTTCCGATAATAATGATGTCAATAGATTCGAAAACTCCGATATTTTTCGACGAAATAAATATCCATACTAAAAGCATGATGTTCACAGTTGTAGTTCATTTTTTTATCTTACTTTTTTTCTCCTACTATGAAATATTGACTAATATAAAAAGAAAATACTTTCTCATTCGACAATCTATTCGTCAAAAAAAAAAGAAAGAATTCATGAAAATATTGACAGATATTAATACGGTGATAATAAAAAGAATTATCAATTTTTTTTTTATTAGTTTTAATGATTACAAAAAGAATTCGATCAGGAAGAAAAATCTTGGATCCGTAAATTCGTTATTATCATCTGTCGATCACTTTTCTTGAAATTGATAATGGATCGATTAACCGATTTATTTAATAGATTTTGAACGATTGTCAAGTCTCTGGATGATTTGAAAAACCTTCACAATTTATTACAGCGTTGTTTTTCTTACAGTAAACCATAAAATATGTTCTACATAATACTATCAATAAAAATGAACAAGTTCTTCTGATAAAATTATACGATGAATCTTTTAATATTAATGTCAAAGCAATTAGTTAAATTATTTGTGTTGTTATATTTGAAACATTCATTCGAATGATGGATCAGCATAATTAACAGTGTACATCTATGTTTATCTTTTCTCAATAATATATCAAGATTTTTACAGTCAAATAATAAAACAACAAGCTATTGTTTTGAGTTATTTGATACGATATCGTAATTTTCTTTTCAAAATTACAAAATACACTCGTTTTTGGACATGTTAAGTAAACATTTGTATGAAGTATTACATAACCATGGTATACATAATTTAATAAAAATGACCTTATTTTCTTCTCAAATAAACTGTATATCAAAAGTAAATTGACCTTGAAAAAAAATAATCCACTTCTCCTATACTTTTATGATTAACTTTGAATAAAATCTTCAATTTACAAGTTTGCAACAATACCATAAAATAATATATAGTGTATTAAAAATGAAGTTTTATTTCGTTATTGTTCTGCTTACTAAAGAAATCTACTAATAACATGTAAATATATGAAAAATCATTAGAATTTAATATAATAGCCTAGTTATCCGAACATTACATGTAGTCGCTAAAAATTATATGAAAATAAATAGCAGTTATATTTTATAGAGTAATATGGATGACATTCGACTTCGAGTTAAATGCTGAGAATACGATAGAAACAATTACTCATATAATGGTAAACATTGTTAAGATAATAATAATAATAATACAAACGATTGTCGAGTGGCAATGCATTAATTTGACAATAATTTTGGTGATTTATCGAAAAATCTACTTGTTGACGTTGATGATTGACCTTGCGATGATATACCA